AATGGGAAAAACATGTCTGTTCAAACGTATAAACAATCGAACTTATTATTTTATGTATGATCAATGCTATTTTGTTAGTGAAGTCAGCAATCAAACCAATAGCGAATATGTTGTATTTTGCTTGGACAAAATCATATAGAAAAAAACTCTAATATCAGAGCAAATGCACACATAGCTTCTAGTTCATGCGTATGTAAGTTTCTTGGTAAATTTTTTCTACTCTTCTTTTTATTGCACACTTACTAAATATATATATGCATGGGTAGGTGAGACAATATTTTTGAATGTGATGCTTGGATTTTGTTTGTGGCCTTTTTTTTTCTTAAAATATATGACTGGCTTCGTGTGCATGAAATACACAAGTCTTCCAAATTATTTAAAATTTGATTTTTGCTGAAATTTTATACTGGCTTCATACTAATATACATATGATGTTTGCCTATGACATGATGCGAAAACACCGGAGTAGCGCAACCACAATTGTTATTAGTGTAAATACTCTTAATATGTTTGGCTGTCAAGACTCGGCTATGCCATACAGTAACAATAGTTTCATGAAGAGTATTCATAAACACCATATTATACAATAATTGATTATGCTTTATATATTAAGTTTTTATTATTATATTCTTATATTAAATACAATAGAATTATTAACTAAATTTTATTACTTAAATTATATAGAATACAACTATAAATCTTAGATAACTAATTATACATTAACTTAAATTAACTAGAACTATTAACTAAATTTAATTACATATTACTTATAACTATTTAAAATAAAATTACTTATATAAGGGTGAATATTATTTATTGTTAATTTTTCTAATCATTCATAAATATTATTAGACTAATATTTTTACATAAATATAAATTTTTACAATTTTTATAATTTACTTTTAAATTTTGCATTATCTTGGCTACTTTTTAGTAGCCACTTTGAGTTCTTATATAATAGAACTTTTATTAAGAAGTCCAACAAAATTTCGCGATGGCTACCGCACATCGGCTCCTCAAACCAATTTTCGCTTTGTACATTTTTTTTCATTTCTTCTTTTATGCTATTTATTATAATTTTTTTAATGCCATTTACATAATAATACTTTTCAAATATTTTTTTAAAAATTTCAAAATGTAAAACGCACATTTTATAGAGATCGTCAGAAAGATTTTTTAGTAAAAGGTGATTACCTTTTACTTTCTTTTTCAAAACAGAATACCATTTAAATGGTATTAAAGAAATCTTAGCAAACACTATAAAAAAAAGAAATAAAAAAGTTTATAACAATAATTGATTTAAGGATCCGATTTACGGGTGCCACAATGAAATTTTGTTAAAAAACTTTTCAATAAAAGTGCTAAATCAAACTGGGTACTTAAAAAAAATAGTGTAAAATTTAACAATAAATTAAAGAAATTGTAAATATTTGAACTTCTGTGTAAAACATTAACTTAATTATATTAATTAATACTTTCAATAAGTTATATCAAATTAATAAGTAATTTTTATTTTTAATAACTTTATGATATCTTCAATGCTATTTAAATGGCAGTACTGAGGGTTTTTTAAACGTAAAAAGTTGTTAATATAGTGCAAAATTTACCAGCATATTAAAAACAATTGCAAAAATTTGAATTTTAATAAAAAATATACTATTTATAAATGTTTAGAAAAATTAGCAATGAAACAAAAATATTCACCCTAAATAAATAAACTCATTTTAAACAGTTATAAGTAATATGCAATTAAATATAGTTAATAGTTCTAGTTAATTTAAGTTAATGTATAATTAGTTATCTAAGATTTATAGTTGTATTCTATATAATTTAAGTAATAAAATTTAGTTAATAATTCTATTGTATTTAATATAAGAATATAATAATAAAAACTTAATATATAAAGCATAATCAATTATTGTATAATATGGTGTTTATGAATATTCTTCATGAAACTAGTGTTACTGTATGGCATAGCCGAGTCTGGACAGCCAAATATATTAAGAGCATTTACACTAATAACAACTGTGGTTGCGCTACTCCGGTGTTTTCGCATCATGTCATAGGCAAACATCATATTTTAGTATGAAGCTAGTATAAAATTTCAGCAAAAATCAAATTTTAAATAATTTGGAAGACTTGTGCATTTCATGCACACGAAGCCAGTCATATATTTTAAGAAAAAAAAGCACACAAACAAAATCCAAGCATCACATTCAAAAATATTGTCTCACCTACCCATGCACATATATATTTAGTAAGTGTGCAATAAAAAGAAGAGTAGAAAAAATTTACCAAGAAACTTACATACGCATGAGCTAGAAGCTATGTGTGCATTTGCTCTGATATTAGAGTTTTTTCTATATGATTTTGTCCAAGCAAAATACAACATGTTCGCTATTGGTTTGATTGCTGACTTCCCTAACAAAATATTGATCATACATAAAATAATAAGTTCGATTGTTTATATGTTTGAACAGACATGTTTTTCCCATTGCGTGTACCTTTTCAGAATTCATGATTTTTTTAACAGAGGCAAATTACATGTCTTTATATTTCTATGTTTTTGCTTATTCGTTATTAACATATATATGTTGTTGCTATTGTTGTATTCCGCAGGGATCTGCCTATGTAGTTCTTTTTGGTTATGGTGAACAGCATTTGGTCGTTGAACCCGAAGAGTGACTCCAGAACATTGTTGTAAGCCGTTGGGACCTGTAAGCAGATAACATGAATAGCTTCAGAACGTAGACTCGGTCGTTCTTAGAATCATTTAAGTGTTACAAATATAGCTTGGTTTCACAGTTCATTGTTGTACATTAAACACATTTTTAAACATTAATTTTTATTTTATTTTCGAAGACATATAAACTCCAATCTTATTAAAGAACATACAGCAGGCCAGAACAATTATCATGTCAGGTAAGAGCAATATATACAACACTTTTTAATTTACTTATGTACATACAATATTATATTACAGTTCTTAAATGGTGCAAAGAGTGAAAGAACCTGTAAATATAACAAATATGGTTTTTAGTTGTTAAGTATAGTTGGGATTTCCTCCAATGAATTTCTCGGCAATTGTGCTGGTGATTTTACTTCCACAGAATACTATATAGAAAAGGGATTAATCAGTATATAGTTGTACTTAAACATTATATATATAAACTATTTACCCTTAATATCTAAAAGTAGTCATTATCCTTATTGCTAAATTATAAGCTTCAATGAGTATTTATCGCTTACGATAAAGGCACGGTTTCAGCTGAAAAGGCTTCACAATAGCAACTTTCCCAATGCTCTGTACTTTTTTGAATTGGAAGAACAAAAACAATTTGCTCAGCATGTCTTTCCTCACCAGTTGGAAACCACAGCTTCGTAAACGTTGTATGAAGTCCTGTACGTTATCAAAACGCGTTTGTATTTCGACAATATAGAGTAGACCATCCACTTTGAGTACGCGATTAGCTTCAAGCATGAAATCCTTAAGATTAGTACCCATTAAAGACAAGCAATACACCGCTACGTCGAGTGATTCCTTTTTGAGTGGCGTATGTGCCATATCGCAAGCAATAATATCAGGTTTGGCGCTGACTAAATCTATGGAGTATACTTTATTGGGCACAGACTTGGCCAATTCTGCATCACCACAACCGAAATCGCCTATTTCAAAAGTTTTTGGTAAATTTTTAATCGTTTTGATAATACGTTTAAGCGGATTGAATGGCCATTGTTCGGATTGATGCCGGAAACCTTCATGGTAAGCCGTATATGCCTCTCTGTCAGCAGTAAAAAGCTCCACTGCTTTTTGACTGGACATAGTGTAGAGTTGTTCATTGATAAAACGGAAACGTCCGCCGACGAGCTGAGACTTCAATTTCTCTTGGTAGGCACTGAACTGAGCATTAGCTGGCGTAATCAATTTCAATTCATTTGTTGCAGCCGTCACCGCGGCAACGTTTTTATTATGCACTTCGGTTAGCTTGGATTTATTTAATTTTTCCACACGTTTTAGTTTATTTTTTTCTATTCTACCACTTTTGATGACTTTTTGCTTGCTTCCAATGCCACCGTCGCTATCACTTTCGGCACTGGAATCAGCGCTGCTGCTATCCTCATCATCGCTGTTTATGGGCTTGACTGGACGCTGCAGACCTTTTGGAATCAATTTTTGTTTTTGTAACTTTTTTTGCTTTCTTTTTTCGATGCGTCCATTTTTGATGGAAGTTTTTTTGACTTTATTTTTTTGTTTTTTCTTCAAAATCTCATTGGCAATATTTTTATTTGTCTTTTCCACCGAATTTTGTGAGTTTTTCTTCGCCGACTGGAAGTTAAAAACCTCAACTGTGCTGTCCCAAGCTGCTGGCTTGAATAAACTCATTTCAACTAGAAAAAATAAATTATTATAATTAATTTCTTACGTTTATTTATTTTTACTTACTAAATTTAGATATTTTACTAATTTGTTTACTTCGCTAGTCTATGCACGTGTAGGCAACAAAACAAACCAGAAAGGTTTGTGCACAGCTGATGACATTTGTGTAAGGAACGAAATGGCATTGAAGTGCATGTAGAATTAAGTGAGGCGGCGAAACTCAGTGTAGAGTTTATAGTTTTTAGCAAATATAAGAACCTTAAGTAGGCAACGAAATAAATAAAATAAAAAATTTAATAAAAGAATTTGAATGTTTACATTATTTTGTAAAAATATTTAGTTTATATTTAAAATTTAAAATGAATAAAAAAGAATCGATCATATCTCTTATTTATTTAGTACCATATACTTAATGTCAGACATTGCGCAGATAAGACCATTTGCTGCCGTTAAGTTATTTTGATAATTCAATACACAAACCTTTTAGTACTACAGTAGTGAATTGCGTTTTCATAATGGCGTTTTGTCTTTGTAAATCTGGATTTAATCTAGGCTGTTCCCTTTCAGGCAATATAGTTCGGAGTTGAAGTTGTCATTGTACTATGTCATTGTACTACGTCTTTTCATTGTTAAATATTAGTTACCATTATCCCTTTCTTGGTTCCGCTCATGCCATCAAATGTGACCGAACTGCAATATAAATTAATTATTAAACTAAAATTACTTACTTGTAAGGTTTTAGATAATAAATTCTATTAAATATATAAAATAGCTGGCAACAGGATTAAATATAGATTGATGACTTTAAACATCTTTATTGAAATATTTGGGACATTCTTTAATTATATCTCTCAGTTGTGGTCAAAGAATAATTATATAAGGAAGTTGTATATTGCAAAAAGCAATCTAAGGTAATAAGTATGTTTAGACTTACATTTTATATAGGAATATATATAGGAATATGTATCTTATTAACTTAAATTCAAGTTATTCATAACATATATATTAATTACTTATATATATGTGCTAATATCTAAAATATCTATATATGTCAATATGTGTTTAGAATTATTAAACTCTTACAGATGAACTAATCAATTTCGTTAAAGAAACTTTAGCTTTAGTAACATATTACCATAGCGTTATATCTCGGTATCACGCTGGATAAACGATTCACATGGCTTAAACATGTTCAACTGAAAAGAATTCGCTGTGCCAAAATTCTTCATCACTTCCAACCGCTATTCAGATATGAAAATCTAAATGTTAAGAACAGGAAACTGATATATAACCAAATAATTCGTCCGTCACTTCTATATGGTTGTGTAGCGTTTAGTAAAGCTTCAAACACTACTATTCGCCAGCTAGAAATTGCACAAAGTCAGGCTCTGAGAAGTCTTTTCAAAGTAACATGGATAAATTAGGATGAATGACATCCTCAGGAATCTCAAGATTGATCCCATCAAAAAATACATAAAGGATAGAGCCCTGAAATTATTTGCGAAAACTGACAGACTTATCAACACCGCGTTATCAAATCTCAGAATGGTTACAGGCTCCTCGGGGATGTATGTAGATCTGAGGTCAATTATTGCTTATTCTGATTAAGTGATAAACAATAATCCAGTCAAGGCGTAAAGTGGGGTTTTAAAAATACCTCGAGTTAAGAAAGAGTAAAAGTTGAACACTTTGAGCACTGGCACAAATACCTTTAACATAATTATAGATATTATACTGTATATTTCCATAGTGCTATAGTATATAGTATATTATACTATATATTATAGTATATTATTATTATTATATTCTATATACTAATATACTGCAGTACGTTATTCCCAATATTTTTATATAAAATTTTCTGTCTTATATGGAAATGGATATGGTATATGGAATACATGCATATTATGTAGTAGCGTACACAACGGGGTCTTTTGGAGTTCAAAACCATTTAAACTATTTTAGACCACTTTACTCTAGACATAATTAATTTTTTTGCAGTTATAAATGTTTTGATATCAACTTTAAATGAGGTTTTAAAAGTCACTCGAACACGTATTTGTACGCCCCTGTATGTATACGTGTTCGAGGTTAAACATAGTATATGGAATTTTTCTAGGCTATAATGGTAATTCCTATAGTTGGGACAACTTCAACTTCAACTACTTACAAAACATATTTTTATTTATAAACTAATATAAGAGTATATATACATATAAATTTTATAATTTTTTATATATTTTTTATTATATATATATTGTTTTATTAATTGGTACTTAATTGAAAAAATCCCTTCCGTCTACATAGACTTTAGAATTTATTGTTGTCTCTCTTTGAATTGTTGGAATCTTATTTGGATTTTGTTTATAATACATTTGTTCAATTATTTTTTAAAAATTATGAAATACTTAAAATTATTTTCTTTGTATGTGTGAGTTTTGAGATACTTTTCATTCTCGCACTCTAACTTCAATACGAAAATGTGCAATTAAAGGAACAAAATGCTATGGAAGTACTTCTTCAAAGGTTTGCACACTAAAGAATTTTCCTATATCAGCACTTTACATATACGTGACGTTACCATGATATAGTTATGATTATTATTATATATTTATTTTTTAACTAATATACTGGCAAACATTATGTATAAGAATTTAGCAATCTAATGAAAACGTTCCTTTAGCTGCTTTTAGTGACTGAAAAGGCTCCGTGGATGAACAACGTGAAGTGATCTTGAAAATATTTTCAAAAAAGTTTTTTAAAATAAAAATTAAATAAAATTAATTGTAATTCAAATGCAGTGTAAATTAATAAAAAAAAATTTTTTATATGTGTTTTTAAAAAAATTCAAATCAAAATTTAATTAATTAATAATAATTAGTTTCAAATATGGTGAGTTTTACTTAAATAAATAATTAGTTATTAACTTAAATTTTCTGAATGTTATATAAAATTAGTTAAAATATTTTGAAAAAAAAAAAAAATACCGATTTTAATTATTAATTTTTATTTCTTCAATTATTATTGCAAAAAAATATTATATAGTATTTATATAAAATAAAATGGCTAAAATATAAATAAATATAATAGTTGTTTATTATAATATAAATAAAAAAATCCAACAAAATAAATTGTAATAATATATTAAACATTCTAGCATAAATATTAATATATGAAAGTCTAAATTAAAATAAAAATTATGGTATAAAAAAAATGTGATAATATAAACTAAAATAAATATTATGGTTTAAATAATATAATATAATATAATAATATAAACTAAAATAAATATTATGAAATCCATAAAGTATGTAGTAATAATATAAAGGCTTGTATTTTTTAAGAAAAAAAAACAAGAAAAGACATAAAATAGAGAGGTATAAAATACAAGCCTTTATATTATTACTACATACTTTATTGATATCATAATATTTATTTTGGTTTATATTAATATATTATATTTTATTTAAACCATAATATTTATTTTGGTCTATATTATTACATACTTTTTTATGGCTATATCTCAAGAACCAGTATTTTCGTATTATCCCTATATGTGTATTCAGATTAAACATTATTAAATTAAATAATGTTTTATCTAAATCATTTTATAATAATTTAATTCACAATTCTATAGTCATGGTATCACAACACCCGCGATTATTTGACTTCAAGTCGGTTTTGGGTACAAGCCTTTCTCTTCAACCTAATCACAACAAAAATGTGAATAGATTATTACAAAATAATATTAGCTTTCGAGCTAAACATAATCATTTTTCATAAAAATTTATATTCAATTATTCACTTGTGGGCTTGATCCAGAAGAATAAGACTAGTTGACCAAACTAATGTCGAAATACGGACAAGGCGGGAGTAGAATTAAAACAGTCTGATTTCTATATTAAAAGTATGTCATATCGGCACCACATACTATATAGGTATGTGCTTATATATCAATATTTTTCCAAATAACAATTATAATGTAGTTTTAAAACTCAAATAAGATATATTGTAGCACTATTTTACTGTAATCTTGAGCATGTACAGAAATTAAGTTTTATATGTGCTAAAGATTCTTAATTAAACTTCCTCATTGATCTTTTTGTCTCATCGATCTTTAATAGTTTTACATCCCAAGATTATATCCCAAACATTTTTTGAAAAAAAAGTTATCTGTCAGATAAATTTCAAAATCAAAATTATAGGCTTAGGTTACGACTCTTTCGCAGTCAGCATAAACGAACAACTGACTGCCACTTAGATCCTACAGTCCACTGTGATACTACTACTGAACACAGGATCTGATCTCTAAATTAATTATGAAAGCATTTTGGAGACCCTAAAAAAACGTAGGATATTTTTAATAGGACTAGTGCTGAATACTTCTGTCGACCATATATGGGCCTGAGACACGATATGAAATTATAAGAGGATATGATAGTGTTTAGGTTGCTCTTTACTAGCGACAATAACAAATTTAGTTTATAACTTAATTTATATTATTTTTTTAATTATAATATTTTATTATTTTTTATATATTTTTATAATATTATATTAAACAAATCAGTTATTAGAATTCCAGCATTTTGGTGTTCGAGAATAAAGTTCAGAGTTATATGGGAAAATAATCTTAGCTTTCTTTTCAGGGGATTTTCAAGGAGTAGGCCCATGTATTTCGTCACTAATTTTTGTATTGTTCGATTTTGAGGGGTTTTATTTGATAACATTACATGTTTACCGTATTTAGGAAGAGTTCCAAGTATACCCATTTATTTAGACAGAATTGAATATTTAAAAATTTTCGAAATTTATTTATTTATCTTAAGAAATATTTTAAATAGAGAGCATTTCATTATGAGGGTCATTTTTCATCGGAGTTCAATTCTTCATTCCCAATGATAAGTATTCTTAAAATTACTCTAGAAAATATTAATCATTATATATACAAGTAACTGGTCTTGTCTTTCATGGATCGCAGTGATTTTCTCCTTTCTTATACTATTATATCTGTTAAAATTTATATACTTCTTATATTTTCTGATATTTATTTACAATTCTGGCTTTCAAATATTTTCACAAACTTGCTTGTATAAATAAATTATATAAAACCAGAAAGACTGTACAAAATAATTTTTGTTCCATAGCAAAAGAAATATGAGGCGTCTGGTTTCATTTGCTACGAAAGGTAAATTTTCTTTTAAGTTTTGTGATTGCAAATTTTCGCACGAGCAAATGTAGCAATTTTCGGTGGTCAGCAAAAAAGAGTAAAAG